TTGATCTCTGCAAGTAAAACGTTGGCGACACAAAGACAAAAAAGAGTTAAACCGGCTTACCAAAGTCACCAAAAACTGGGTTGCCGTATATTTTGGCAGGCGGCAGGTCAATGAACTTGGCATGTTGTAGTTGCAGAGTAGTAGTTCCGGGTGTAATCTTGGGGTGAGTCACTTCCAATTGGTTGGAATCTGTCAGCACGATCACAGCTGAAGGAGAAAAAGGAGACGTTAGGAAGTAAAGTGACGGCCCGGGCGGTGCCGTAGATGAGCGGTTGCTTTTGGGTCCTGAATGAAGGATGACAAACAGAAGCAGAAACAAAACCTCCGATCCTTGACAGCACTGGCCAATTAGTCCCCTCCTTTATAAACGACAAGCACAAGGCAAAGCTTCGCAATGCGACAAAAATTGCTCAGTCTCCTCTACACTGAACACCGTCCTTCATTACAGAGGTTTCGACTAGATAGAATACCGTATTGGGTGGCGGACGTGTTTCTCGAACAACGACTGTCAGATGCAAAGGTGTTCGAAGTAGGCATACAAGTAAGTTCCAACTAGACAGAGATGAACACCTGGGGTTTCACGGTTGGAGCCGTCTACCTGACCACAGTGAACGGCAAAGCTCTTGGGGAAAAAGGAAAAACTTTTCGACCTCCGAACACCCTCCCAGGAATGCAAAATAACGATGGAAGTGACTCGAAATCAACAAAATGTGCGCAGATTCGGCTAGACCTCGTCAGATAAGTGGATCGGTTAGAAGATCCAACTGCGAGTAGGTGCGGTATCCATCAGCGTAATCACTCTATATGGATTTAAGAAGTGGTCCGTGCGCTCAAAAGATGTCGACCACGTAGGTGTGTTTGTCTAATGCTGTTCGCACTGCACTTTTCAGATCCGCCTACCCAACTGCGTCTCCAACGCCGCTCCGGAAGCCAATCCATCAAATGCGCCCTCCCTGCTAGCCGAATATAATCGCTCGCCTATGCGCTGCGCTGAGGGCAATATCATTTGGAATGTCAGCTCCTTCGAATCCGGCCCTAGGTGATGAGGGCCTTGAGGTGGCCAATCGAAGGCGTGAATGGACGTGGAGAGGACGCGTGTGGCTCTGTGGTCATCGGTTTGCGCGGTCAACGGGTCAATTGGTTAAACTTAATGTCTGAACACCTATAAAGCATGTTGATCACTGATGACGCAGCGAACCAACAATATGGGGCCAGCTGGATCAGCGACGATAAGTGTCATAATCAGTTCAGGTAGTAAGCCAGCCTCTGGTAACTAAGATCAGCAATAGTTAAAGCCAGGTGGGTGTGACGCCCATCAATCCATAATGATTGCGGCTTCGCAATGGAGCTCAGTTCTAGGGTCGCTTTAGGGATTCCATTGCTGTGATCATTCTATACTAACGAGGTACAGCCGATAGACACAAGGTAGACTTGCAGAAAACAAACGTAACAGTTTAGAAGCACGTCAAACTCACATCGCACAGAATCCGAAAGGAGAGGGGCGTAGGCGGCAAAACTCTGAGTAGACCATGGCTTTGGAGGGTTAGCAGTGAAGTTGGTAAAAACAGATCTGTAATCGCCAAAGAGAGGAAAGAACGGTTCATTTAGATTGGAGACCATATGGGTAGAGAAGGACCTGAAGACGAATTATAGCTACTTGGTACTAACATGGAGTCCAGCATGTCTCGACCTGCTGGTGAAAGGTGGTTCAGAGTGGAAATTACTAGAATTTCAAGAAGGGATGATGATGATGGTGGTGGTGGTGGTGGTGGTGAGGAGGAG